AGAGTTTTGCCATTAAGTTTATAATAATTTGGTTTTAGGTTAAAAATGGATGATTCATGTCTTATTGAAGAATGTGATAATATTTTCTAGTAGAAGGTATCAAAGTTTTAACAACTCCACACAAATTCATTCAGAATTATCTAAAATATTAAATGAAACATCTTCTACATGTCTACAACTCGTTCTGACACTATGATCTTTCACATACAATAACTGTCCCCTAATGCACTTCAACTTTTTTCATCTGTGAAATAAAAAATAATAGTGATACTGGCACTGCAGGCCACAAGGCTATCTTCCAAATCAAGTCAGATGCTAGACACAAAATTGTATTTATGAAATGTGAAGGACTTGACATCCAGCCAGGGCCCTGCTCCAAGCCCAGTGGCTTGGGCACACAGGCCCAAGCCAAGGGTCCACCTGGAAAAGAGCTGCACAGGCTCACAAGCAACAGACAGAGGCTCACCGTGATACCATTGGTAAGTGCACAGAGACCTTAAACAGAAGCCTGCTCAGTCCCCAGGGACTGGGGTGCACAGCCCCCAGACAAAGGCCTTCCCAGAAAACAGCTATATAGGGGAGCAGGTCCTAGCCAGAGGCATGCCTAGAAACCATCCCAAGTGTGCAGAGGCCCCAGCTAGAGGCCTGTCCAGACAACAGGTCAGCTCAGAGATCCAGAAGGCAACCATTCTGAACTCAAGAATTGGTGCACTGGTGAGCAGCATAGAAAAGCCTTGATGAGAATTGAAGAACACTGGGTGAGCAAAAAGTTTCCTGAACAAAGCCACAGCAGGCTGCGTTTGTTGAAAAGAGAAGACATGTAAAACAGTCTCAAAACCAGACTTCCAGATCACCTGGGGCAACCCCAAAAGGAAACAATATGGAAAAATCTGATACCCAATCACCTGGCCTTCCTGATCTGGCAATGAAAGAGGATCTGGAAAAAATGAAATCAGAAATAATTTCTCAGATAACAACAGATATTGTGCCCATAGTGCAAGACATGATTAATAAATTTAAAGCAGACACAGATTTTAAAAAATTGAGGAGCTGAGGAGCATGATGAAATCCCAACATAGGAAACAAAATCCATAAAACAGATGCAATCAGATTCCCAGGAGATTAAAAACTCCATTGAAAGTTTATGCAGCAGAATGAACTAATGTGAGGACAGAATTTCAGATATAGAAGACAGGATTGCAATTAGTGACCAGGAAAAGAAAAATTTCTTAAAAATACTAAGGGACCACAAGAAATCAATCCAGCAGCTGCTAGATGATGCAAAGAAAAGTAACATAAGATTGATCAGAGTCAATGAAGAAATAGGAGAGAGTGTAGATGACATAAAAAAAATTGGTCACAGAAGTAATGGCAGAAAACTCTACAAGTAGGGGAAAAGAACTTGATATACCGATAAGTGAGGCATATAGGACTTCAAATAGCCATGAGCAAAAATAAATCTACACATAGGCAAATAATAGTTAAGATTCCAGAAACCCAACAGAAGAACAAAATTCTACAAGCAGTGAGAGAAAAGAAACAAATTACATAA